GAGTCCTGGGGCCGGGGGTGGGGGCTGCATGGGGGGGGGGGGGTGGAGGTGGGGGAGGTGGGTGGTGGAGAAGGGGCAGAAAAATGCTGCTTGACGGCTGTGGCGGCCGGGCCCGGGCCTGTGCCCGCCCGCCCGCCCGTCCGGTCCTGCTCTGTCTAACTCGGTAATTACCGCTCCCCTCCCCCCCCAGTCGCCGCCCCCACCCCCACCGCCACATCAAAGCCCCGGGATGCCCCAGCACCATTAACCCCTGCCTCCCCGCCGCCCGCCCCTCCCCCGCTCGGTAGCGAGAGGCGGGGGGGGGCGGGGGGGTTGCCCCCTCCCATCCGCCCTCGCTCTACCCGAAGGCTGTCTGTCTGTCTGTCTGCAGGACAGGGCCGGGGGACCAGAGATGGATACGCGTTTCCCCTACTCGGGGGAGAGCCCCCCCACCCCCTAGGAGGCAGCCAGGTGCCAGCGATCTTGCCCCGAGCTGGCCTGGGGTGGGGGTGGGGTGGGCGTGCAAAGGGGGTCTGTGGAAGGGCAGCCCCCCCACCGCACGCAGGACAGGGGGCGCCCGGCTTCCTCATTCTGGGTGGCGCGGGGTCAAGGCGGGCTCGGGTGAGAGGGGGCCTGTAGGGCTAGCGCAGAGCCAGGTGGAAAGGAGGAGAGGGACCCGCGACCCTCCCCTCGCTGCCCTTAGGGGGCGCTCTCCGCCCTGCCCATCCCGGCCCGGGGCCAGGCCCCCTCTGTGCCCGCTGCCAGCGCGCCCCGCCCACCCGCCCGCCCGCGCGCGCTCATCCTCTCCATCAAAGTCCACGTTCTAGAGTCCCCCTCGGCTGGGCCCTGGTGATCAAGCCTCCCACTGACACCACCCCCCTTCCGATGCTCCCGCTGCTATTCTGGCTTCTGAGGAGCGCCCCCCCCCCCCCCAGGAAATGTCAGCGTGCCAGATTCTGGGGGCTCAGGGCATGCTCTGGCCTGGACTCAGCCTCCTCTCGCCCCTGCCCTTTTCTGCTCACAGCCCCATTGTCTCTCTCAGGGGAGGCTGCCAAGACCGGAGGCCTGGGGTGGGGGGCATGGCATGGACAGCCCACCCCACCCGGCCGCATCCCACCCTGAGCTGGGAGGGTGCCCGAAGCAGCCGGCACTGCCCAGGAAGGGGCAGGGGGAGGGGGCCCAGAGACAGACAAGAGGGAGAAGGGAGACTAGCCTGGGGGTTGGTGGGGGGTGCAGGTCCCAGCCGGAAACTCTGGGACCCCTCAGGAGCTGGGGTCCCTTCCCTGTTCCCCTGGAACAGGGAGGGGGGTCACTTGCCATGACGCTGGCCTGGTCTCTGGTTCCTCTTTCCTAAGGGAGGCGTGTGGGGGGGGGGGTCAAAAGACAAGAGTAGATGGGGGCGGGGAGGCGACAGGGAGGGCCAGTCTCTTTCATAGAAAATATGAAACAGAAAGAGGAAGAGCGAGGGGGGGAGACTGATCTGGCCATTCTGTGAGGGTGAGCTATTTTCTACACCCACTGATTGAAGGTATAAATAAAGATGGGTCAGACAGTGAAAAGAATTGGCTGGGGGGTTGGGGGGGGGGCCCTGCAGGGAGGATGAGCAGAGGGAAGGGGAAGCCCGCTAGTGACCAGGAAGCTAGAGCCTCTGTGTGTGTGTGTGTGTGTGTGTGTGTGTGTGTGTGTGTGTTTCTCTCTCTCTCTCTGTATGTCTCTCTCTCTGTCTCTGTCTGTCTGCCTCTCTGTCTCTGTCTGTTTCTGTCTGTCTCTCTCTTTCTCTGTCTCTCTCTGTCTCTGTCTGTCTCTTTCCATCTCTCTCTGTCTGTCTCTCTGGCTCTGTCTCTCTTTGCTTCTGTCTGGAGGACTGGTCTGGGGGTCGGGGGCAGAGCCTACAATGGCCTGGAGGCCAGAAGCTGGACAAGATGACCTCAGGAGAGCCTGGCCCTTGTCCTGGAATCCGGGATTCTGCGATTCACCAAGATAGGGCTGCAGATGGACGGGAGGTGGGGAGGCAGGAGGCAAGGAGGCTGGGCAGGTAGGAGGGAGCCTTCTCCAGAACCTGGAGCCAGGGCTCTGGAGCCTGGGCCCCTCCTTGTCTGGGGCCCCCTCCACTCCCAGCCTGGCTGCCCGGGGGGTGCCGCAGGTTTTCTGCCCCCCAGGGAGCCCCGGGTTGGGCCGCATTCTCGGAGAGGCAGGGAGGGAGCGCCAGCAGCAGTTCTTAGAGATCCAGGAAGCGGCTGCAGCCTCCAGTTGCTCAAGACTCCAGGGGAGCGACGAGAGGGGAGGGTGGGAGGGGGAAGGACCCTAGGGGGCTGGCAGGACCTCCAGGACACCTGGGCGGCTGGACCGGACTCAGCCCAAAACGTGATCTTGGAGGGCCAAAGGGGAACATCCCCAAGGAAGGACTCGGGGCTCACATCAAAGGGCGGACGTGTCCGAGGGAGGAGAGAGGGGAGTGGGCGCCTTATCACCCACGCCTCACTCTTCACCCAGCCCGCCCCGCAGCTGCGGCCATGAAGGCCTCTGTGTTCCCCCACACCTGCCCTCCTCTCCCGGCCCCTCCTCCCCGCTTCCCCGTCTCCCAGGGACCAGACCTCTCTCTCCCCCCTGGCGGTGCTCCCACCCAGTGCAGTGGGGCCCCAACAAAAGAACCCACACAGGTCTGGACCTCAGCAGGGTGAATCGACCAATTCAGCCACCAAACTGCCCCCAATCTTGTTAGCCTCAGGGGCCCCCAGAGACAAAGACTCAGCCTGGGGATCAGGGAAGGGAGATCCGAGAGCAGATAACTGTGCTTGGAGGGAAGAAAATGCGGTTACTGGCATTGTTGCCCAACCCATGGGTGCCATGAGTGAGAGTTCACGGGAGAACAGAGCAAGTGGCATTTTATGCCTTTATATGGGGGGAGGGGCATACCTGGGATTGCTTCTGGAGGGGAGGGTGGGGACCAAACCCTGGCAAGCTCACCCTCTGAACTATCTCTCCAACCCCCAGAAGCGGCCTTTTTAACTGAAATTGGACTGAAGAAAAGAGAGGGAGGGAAGACAATGAGCAAATGAAGAAACTCATCTTTATTCCTTGTAAATGGGCAAAGTGAGCTGCAGAGAATACCCAATTGAGTGCTCCAGGCAGGAGGAGGTTTGATCCCTGGCACTATGTGAGTCCCCAAATACCCCTTGAGCAATCCCTGAGCACAGAACCAGGAGTAGCCCCCAGCATGAGTCGATGAGGCCCCAAAACTAAAACTAAAGAAAGAAAGGAAGCAGGCAAAGTTCGGGGGAAAAGAGAAACATCCCTTTAAATGGCTTACTTACTTGGGACCCTAGCTTAAAAATTCTAAAGCAAACCCCGTTTTGCCCAGGGCACTTCTTGACCCAAGAATTTGAAATTTGGGGGCTGGAGCGGATAGCACAGCAGGTAAGGCGTTTTGCGTTGGGCCGACCTGGGTTCGAATCCCAGCATCCCATATGGCCCCCTGAGCACCGCCAGGAGTAATTCCTGAGTGCAGAGCCAGGAGGAACCCCTGAGTACCGCCCGGTGTGACCCAAAAAGAAAAAAAAAGAATTTGTAATTTGAACGAACAGAACCTACACATAATGAACACTTCCAACGTCAGATCATCTACTCTCAGATCTGCCAGTCTGCCTCTTTTAGAGTTGAGAAATTGGGAGGAGAAATGATTTGTCCAAGGTCACCCAAATTAACTCCAGGCTGGCATTGGATCTCAGGTGCGTCTACTTCACAGCTGTTACAGCGGGATAAACCAGAATCTAAGGAAGCAGGTTCCCTACTCATAACCCGCGTTGTCCTCAACTTGCCCCCTCCTTGGCTCTCTCCGGCTTCACAGAAGAGAGATCCCGCCAGCAGCACCCGGGATCCCGGTGTCCTGGGAAGAGAGGGCTCTGCCCCCAGCACCCCTCCTTCCAAATCCCGGGAGGAGCAGAGGATAGACAGTCTAGCCAATGACACGGCGATATGCAAATAAACCCAACCCTGCCTTCTTAGGATTGGCTGGTGTATCAGCGGTATTTTGTCCAAGTCCCTCCTCTCGGAACACCCAACTATTCCAGGCGGGTCTTTGCAGCCCAGGAGGTTGCGAAGAAGAAGGAAAAAGTGTCCTGTATCCCCATCTCCCAGCTGGGCACCCACCCTCCCAACCCTTAGTCCCACTTCCCAAGACGCAGAGTTCCTGCCTCCTTAGCTGCCCTAGGTTTCTGTTCCGGCTAGGGCCAGATCGGGAAGCCAGATCTGGAAACACATCCCCATCCCCGGAGGGTCAGGCCTGCATCTCTTCCCAAAGGAACCCTCCCAGGTCCCCGGTGACCTCCTGAGTCGCACCTTTTCCCCTCCATGACCCCACGCCCCTACACCTGGGAGGGCTTGGGTCCCTTTTCTGGACCTTCTCTTTTCTTTCTTTCCTTGGGGGAGGAGAAAGCCGAGAGAAAGCCGGAGGTCTGCCTCAGTTTCCCCTTTACCTCTCCCTGCCCTCTACCACCGCCCGCTCTGAGAGAGACTCGAGGAAAGCGGCTGGAGACCGGGTGGGCAAAGTGGAACGGCGAAGCAGCAGCTGCCTGACCCCCCACCTGAGCCTTCTGCCTTGTTCCTTTCCCTCTCCGCAAGCCCGGTCCCCCAGCCCTGAATCCAGGACCCACCTAGCACCTTCTTCTTCTCTCTCCTTTTTTATCCTCCCCACCTCACCCCCAGCTCTCTCTGTCCATCCATCGCCCCGGGTCCCAACTCATCCGGCAATTCCTAGGTGCGTTCCGCTCGGGTACCCCCGGGGAGCGCGCGTACCACAGGCGGTGCGGCGGGGCGCGGGGCTGGCGGGAGTGCCCAGGCGGAGGCGGGCCCAGGGGGGCGGCACGCGTTTCCCCTATACCTCGCGCAGCCCGGCGGCGCTCCAGCAGCGGGGGCGCGGCTGGGAGCCCAGCGGCGGCGGGTCGCGAGGGTTTGGGATGGTTTTTAATTTTTTTTTCACACCCTCCCCCCCACCCGGAGAACCTAGTGGGCGCAGCACTCACCACCACAGCCCGCCGACGTGCGCCGGACACAAGAGCAGCAGCAGCAGCAGCCCGAGGCGGGAGGGCGCGGGCGGCAGCATCGTGAGCGCGGGGGCCGGCGGGGCGCGCGGGAGTCGGGGCGTCAGCGCGAGCGCGGCGCTCGGCCGGCGGCGGGGGGGCCCATCCCGGGCGCGCGAAGGGCGCGGCGGAGGCGGAGAGCCGACGGGGTAGCCAGAGCCTGTGTCTCCTGCAGAGCCCGCTCGGGAGAAGAAATCAGAGCCGGGGGCGGGGGTGGGAGGGGAGCGGGCGGGGGCGAGGTAGGGGTGGGGGGAGGACCGGGGAGGAGGCTGGGGGGCGGAGAGGCGGGGGGGGGGGGGCGACCGTTGCGACAGTCAGGCGGCGGGACTCGCGGGAGGGAGCCGTGCGCCCCGGGGCGGCGGGCGCGGAGCGGCGCGGAGGGCGGGAGCCGGGGCCCGGGGCGGGGCCGGGGCGCGCTCGGGGTTGCGGGACCCGCCCGCCTCCCGCGGCCCTGGGAGTCCCCCCCCACCCGGCCACCTCCGGGAGGGGACGGAGGGTTGGAGAAGGGGGTAGGGGGGAGAAGGAAGAGGAGCTGTGGAATGGGGGCCGGGCTGGAAGGGAGCCGGTTGACAGGTTTGTTGACTGTAAAGAGAGAAAACTTCCAAGGAATGAGGGAGTTTGGGGTGGTGCGGAGAGCGATGCTGGAGAGGGACCCCCCTCCCCAGAGGAAGCCTGCCTGGGGCGCTGGGTGCTCGGGCGTGGGGATGCCGAGGGGTCGCTGCGAGTCCCCCCAGTCTCGCCCCGACTCCGCCTCGGCGCCTCGTCTCTCCGTTTGCCTCCTGAAGGGAGGAAGCCTGCCTCGGGCCCCCCACTCTCGCTCCCCGGCCTCCCCGCCTCTTCCAGCCCGAGTGGGCGGGAGGGGCGTGCGGAGGGGAGGCTAGCGGGCCGCAGGAACCCCTGGACGGCTCGCCCCGACGCCAGCCCCGGTGCGGAGCGCAGCGCCCCAGCCGCCGCCGCCGCCGCCGCCGCTGCCTCTGCCCCGTGCGCCTTTTCAAGGGTCCGCGCCTGTCCGCGGGTCCCGGCCTCCCGCGGGTCCCCGAGCTTGGCCCGAGGCAGAAGGGGTGGGAGAGCCAGCTGCAGGTGAGGTGGCGTTTATCTGATTTTCTAATGCCACAAAAATGTCTTTGATGCCCCTGACCCCCTCCCCACGGCAGTGTGTGTGTGGGGGGAGATCAAAGGCCCCCGCGGAGGAGGGACAGCTCCATTCATCAAGCCAAGCGCTGGCAGCGGCCAGGCTGCAGCCCCACACCCCCCCCCCCAACTCTGGCCAGCGTGCCCCAGGGGTGCCGAGGGACAGGTGGTACAGACATTCCACAGCAAGCGCCAGCCTTCTCCAGGCCACCTTCTAGAAGGGCCTCCACCTTTTAAGGGTGGCCTGGGTGAGAACTGATGGGGGACCTCTAAGGCCGGTCAGCAGGGAGTTCAGGTGAAAATGGGTATACTAAGGTAGTGGGTGGGAGAGAGAATCAAATGGACAAGGCACTTGCCTGCCTTGCAGGCTGTGGCCCCACCCTCTATGCCTGGCAATGCATGGGGGTCCCAGCACCCAGCCCTGCCAGGATTGATCCCTGAGCACAGAGCCAGGAGGAAGCCCTGAGCACCACCAGGTATCCCCCCGCCCCAAAGCAAAACAGAAATCTCCAGGTGGGTTGGAGTGGGGACAGGCTGAACTTGGGTGACGAGTCTGATGCAGCATGGTTTAAGAGAAGGGCTGAGAACCCCGCATTGTGGGCACGAGTGACTCCAGCAGGTGACCCAAGGCTGCAACTGAAGCTGCCCAGCCCCCAGCAAAAAGTAGGGCTGAGGTAGGAAGGACCAGCCAGTGGGGGAAATAAACAACCTGGCCGGACTGGAGCAATAGAACAGCAAGGGGGGGGTGGTGTGCTTGCCTGGCATACTACTGTCCTGGGTTCCTCCGGGCATCCCATATGGTTTCCCCATGTGCCACCAAGGAGTAACTCCTGAGTACAAAGCCAGGAGTAAGCCCTGAACATCACCAGGTGTGACCCTCCCTCCCCCCCCCAAAAAAAGAAGAAAAACAAAGCGAAAAGAAGCAGCCTTGGCACACAGGTCTACTGGGAGCCTGTTCCAGGGCCCGGGGTCCAGACTAGATCAGCCCGAGCCCTTATTTAGGCCAGACTTGGTGGGGGGGGTGTTGCAGCTGGGGCGATCTCGACAAAGGGAAGAGACTGTGGGGGAGCCCGGGAGGGCCCTAGCGAGAGAGATAGTGGGGGGGGGCTACGGCCCAAGGACCTCCCTCTTCCAGCTTGTCCCTTTAATAGCTTCCAGATGCCACGCAAGCCTCCCCCCCCCCCACTCCCGCACTTCCCCATGCTGCGTGCATTTGCTGGCTGTGCTGGGCACTGCTGACTCTGCCCCCCCCCACCCCTGCACACAGGCCCTGGGCTGGGCCTGGGCTCAGGCCAGATGGTGCCCACCGGGTAGCTGGACGGCCCTAAGGCTCCCTCAGGGGGTGCAGGTGGGCAGTCACCCACCCCCTGGGAACCACTGCCTGGGTTGGGGGGCCCCCTGCCCCCGCCCCGCTACTGTTATTGCAGATTATGAAATGTTCTTCCCTATCCCGCATTCTTCTCCGAGGCAAGAATTTTAATGTATTTGTCTTTGTCATCAGGGGACCAGGGTTCTGGGACCGCCCTGCCTCCGCCTGAGGAGGGAGCGCCCCGAATCTAGGCCCTGCAGCCTCCGGACCCCAGGCTCTCTGCTGTTACCAGCCCCCCCTCCCCACCACCCCCGTGCCCAGCCCTGCCCTCGCCCCCTCCCTCCTAAGACACAGTCTCCGTGGGGTGGATAAAAATGATGTTATTGAAACAACAGAATTGGGAGCAGTGGCAGGGAGCAGGGAGCAGCTCGGGAAACTGGGGCGCTTGCCAAGAAGCCTGCTCCCCCGCAGGCGGCCTTCTGCCCCCACCCCCCACCTTTCCGACAAACACACACAGATGGCCCCGCCCTCCCGCAGGCTTCTCTCTGGCCAGATCCTGCAGAATGTCCACCCGGGCTCCCGCAGCCGCTCATTCCAGATGGGGGGGAGCTCGCGGTACCCACCCGGACTGCAGGACGGGGATGGGCGACCGGAAGGGGTGACCCTACGCCTCCGAAAATTCCCACTGCCCAAGGCCTCTGCCCACTCCCTGTTGACCTCGAGGTCTGTGCTCCCTCCTACGGCTGTCATCTGGGCAGGGGCCACAGCAGGGACTTTGCCCCACACCGTCCAGACCTCCCACGCTTCAGGACTGCATCCACCACGTCCCCCTCGAGACTTTCCAGACAGAGACACAGGGCCAGGACACAGAGGGAGAACCAGGCGTGGGCACACACACACAGTCACACACACACAGTCACACACATGGTCATGCAAAGGATCACACATACATGGTCACACACAGTCATATGGTCTCACACACACGGGAGCACATGCAGTCACATGCACACGGTCACACACAGGATCACATGCACATGGCCACATGGTCACATGCACACACTGTCACACAGCATCACAGTATCACATGTCCACAGTCACAACGTGGCCATATGGTCACAAGCACAGAGTCACGCACACATAGTTACACTGAGTCATATGCATATGGTCACACACATGTGCCTTCAAGCGGCATCACATGCGCAGGGTCACATGCATTTGGTCATACTCACACGGCCATACTCATGTCACACACATGGTCACGAGCATGCGGTCACACTTGCTCACGGTCACATCACAGTGTCACGATGCACTTTGTCACACGCACACAACCCCACTGTCCCACATGGTCACATGCACAGTCATGGAGTCACACACAGAATCACATGCAGAGAGTCACACACACAAGGTCACACATAGGATCACATGCAGACGGTCACACACACACATGGTCCCATGTAGAATCACATGCAGATGGTCACACAGTCATATGCACGATCACATGCACGCTATTACACTGTCACATGATCATACCTGGTCACACGGACACTGTCACATACATGGTCATACACATACTGTCACACACAGGGTCACATGCACAGGGCCATGCACCTGATCTCACGCACATGGTCACACACGCCCAGGGTCACACACAGGGTCACACGCACATGGTTCCTTGCACACTGTCATACTCAGGGCACACACACACACTGTCATACACATGCCCAATGTGACCTGTCTTCCAGATAGGCCCACAGAAGTGATGGTGGGGGGTCCCCCAGCCACCCTCACCCACAGGCCTGGATGGTCATGCAGACACCAGCACTGGCCCCCCCGGGGATCATCTGCCTGCTCCCCACCACCTTGGCAGGGTCGCGTGCAGGAAGGGCCTGGGCCACCCTGTGCCAAGGAATGGACTCCCCAGTCTCTGTCCTCTGGGTCCCGCCTGGCCCCAACCTCTGCCTGGGAACCTGTGAAGGCCACTTCTCAGCTGGGGGGCGGGCGGGGGTGGGGGGTTGTCCGCTGGAGGCTGGGCAGGAAGGAGGGGCAGTGGGGAAGGCAGCTGGAGGTAGATAACATCAGAAGGGCCTCAGGCAAGGCAGGTCCTCGTCCTGCTCGGGGTTGGGGTTGTCTCTTCCATCTCCCTCTTCCCTGCTCCTGTAAATCACTTTCCCCGGCTTTGTTTCTGGAACACTGGAGCCCTAGGAGCCCAGGAATCTGGGCCTGTGACCCTTCCCCTCCCTCCCTCCCTGCTTCCCTCCCTCCCTCCCTCCCTCCCTCCCAGTCCCCAGACCTCACTCCCCTTCCTGGAGGGTGGGACTGAGAACTGGAGAATTCCTGGGGGGGCCTGGCTCCCAAGAGAACCCAGGGGAAGGCAGCTCTCTAGGGAGACAGAGCAAGAGGCAGGAAGAACAGTGAGCCGGACAGAGTCCCGGGCCGGGCCAGGACGGCTCGCCGTGACCCAGCAGACCAAGTGGCCAAGTGGCCGGGGCCCCTGTTCCAGGGCTCAGAGCAGCCTTCCTTTCCAGCCTGACCCCCATGCCTGGCTCTCTGGACCAGCCCTCTGACCCTGCCTGACTGGCCACATTCCCTCTGAGCCTTTGTCCAGGGACCCCCCCCCCCCATGGGCTCTCACCTACACCCATTCCCCATGGAGCCCACCTCCCTCTCTCCCATATGTCCCCACCTCCCAGT